AAAGCACGGCTTCTAATTGGCTGCAGGAAGCTCCTGCAGCCAATTGGAAGCCGCGGAAGCCCCGTTGGATGTTTGGGTTCCAAAGAATGTTCGCAAACTGGAACACTCACTTCTGGGTTTGCAGCGTTCGGGATTCAAAACGTCCAAGTACCAAGGCTTTTGGGATCCAAGGTACGACTGTACTTCCCTAATCCTACAGGTCTCAGGGCAGTTCACAACATAAAGTCACAATATAAAAACACAAAATACATAATAAAAACAAAAACAACCCAATAATCCCCCCTCCCGAATCTTAAATTCAGATGTTCACATTTTGCAGCCATTTATACTTTCTTTTCTTTTTTAAAGAATCCTCATGGAAGTTCATCAGCATTTTAGTGCAAATAAACACATTTTCAATATGCGGTTTTGACTAATGTACACATTTCTGCAAGCAAGATGCATTCCGCGGGGGGGGGGGGGGCAGTTCTCAAGTAAAAACATGTACATGGATGGAGAAGTTGAGATTGGTGTAAGACTGCCCCAACAACCACAGTGGAGGCATTGGAAATGAATGGTTCTGTCTGATCTGAGTTGACAAGCATAGATGCCATGGTGAACTCCTGTTTGAGGTTGAGAAAAGCACTTTGAGCTGCAGGGGCCCAGTCGAAGATGGACTGACTTCACAACAAATCTGTCAATGAAATGACTATTGTGGCAAATTTGAGGATAAAGCACCAGTAATAATCTGTGAAGCCAGGTAAACGCTGGGCACCTTCACAATTCTTGGTGTGGACAGCCTGAACTTTTTGGGGATCGATTTTAATGACTTGGGGGTGGTAACAATCCCCCAAATTCAACTTGGGTCAGGCCAAAAACACACTTCTCCAGCTTTGCGTAGAGTCTGTTTTCTCTGGGGTGTTGATGGACAAATGTACAGGCTGAACATGGAATTCTGGGGCATCAGAATAAATTAGGATGTCATTAAGTGAGGGAGCGTTAAATTAGTGTTGACTAACTCACGTATGCCCAGTGGATGAGTGGGGATTGAACCCAGATTGCCTTGTCCTAGGCTGATCCACCAACAGCTACCTGATGTTCCTTCTTTAAGGTAGTAGGTGAAAATCCATATATCAGCTTGCTAGGAGGTTAGTGAGGGGAGCAGACCAGTTAGAATAGAATTGTAGAGTGAGAAGGGACTCCAAGGGTAATCTAATCCAACTTCCTGCAATGGAGCCATCACAGCTAAACACTCCCTGACTGATGGCCATTTAACCTGTTTAAAAACCTTCAATGAAGGAAGAGTCCATCACCCTCCAAAGTACTCTATTCCACTGCTGAACAGCTCTTACCATCAGAAAGATCTTCCTAACGTTTAGTCGGAATCTCATTTCTTGTCATTTGAATTCACTGGTTTGGGTCCTACCCTCTGGAGCAGCAGAAAACAAGCTTGCTCCATTATCCAGATATCATTTCAGGTATTTGATGGCCATCATTTCACCTCTCAGTCTTCTCTTCTAGAGGCTAAATGTACCAAACTCTCTCAATTGTTCCTCATAAGGCTTGGTTTCCAGACCCTTGACCATCTTGGTCACCCTCCTCTGCACATGTTCCAGCTTGTCCATATCCTTCATAAACTGTGCTGCCCAGGACACAGGACTCCAGGTGGGGTCTGACCAAGGCAGAATAGAGCAGATTCTCATTGGCTTTGTGCCTGCAGCCTAACTCAGTAAAGCACATTCAGTCACTGAATACTGCAAACAAGGAAGAACGGCATTTGAAATGTGTATCTCTAGCCAACTGGATTCATTTCCCATTGCCATTACATTTTTTATGTTATTTTATGACAGCTAGGTTAACTAGGGAACTTTCCCCGCAAGGCATCCAATCATTCCTGCATTTTATAAAATAACTTTTCTCCCCTTCAAGGTTTTGCAAAGCTAGTGTGAAAGCTGAACAGCAGCGCTTCAATGTAAATTACAGCTTTGCTTATCACATTTAGCAAACAACTCAAGTCAACAGAGTGGTGTCAGGCAATCTGTCCACTGTGGTTTCACTGAGACAATAAACACTCATCGTTTAGTCTTGCTTTTTTCTTGTTATCAGGAGGATTAGTCAATACAGCTATTAGACACAATGGTCTTAAATTCTGGACAGAAAGTTCTGAAAAGAAGTTTGAACCAATGTTTTTTTGAGAGGCGGGTTGTCAATGCCTCATCTGCCTTTTTTTGGGGGGGGTCAACATCATGCTTTTGTGGGGACTCTCCTTTGGCAGACATTTTAATTACTCCTGGTGTTCAGAGAAGAGTGCCTTTGTTGTCAAAATATGACTTATCCTTGCACAATGGTCAAATAATGTTGACTGATTGCTGGGGTGATGCAGGACATTTAGGCTGTGCAATTTAAAACAATTGCTCCACCCAGTTTGGATCTGGCCCCACTCACCACTGGCAAGTGGCCCTTGAAGGGTAGCCTAGAAGAGAATGTGGCCCTCAGTCTGAAAAAGGTTTCCCATCTCTTTTTTGAGCAACATGGTCTTCCTGAGCTCAGGTGTGCTCCTGCGTCCTTTGTTATTCTGTGGTCCTGCCTCTGTGGACCATCAATCCTGACTCACTTGTCCTTTGGATCTGGCTGCCAGCTTGCCCTACAGCTGTCGGCTCCCAACTAGGGTGAGTGAATCTGCCCATTTTGGTTTCCCATTGTTTCTCAGTCTTAGGTTTTTCACACCAGTTTGCTTTTGTAAAAAAAAAGCACAACCCCCCCACAACTCTTAAAAATTCATCAGCATTTTAGTGCGAACCTCTCCTAATATACACATTATTGCAAAACAACTTTCTCCCATGCAATTCTCCAAAATTTTGTGTGTGTGTGTGTGTGTGTTATTTTCATTAATAGATGCATTTTTATGCACGCTGTACTCCAGCATATGCATTCTGGTAAACATTTATTTGGCACTGCAAAATTCAGAGAAGTGCAGATTGCGAAGGCTGGCTGTGTTTCTTTTCTCCTATTTGTTCCAGAAAGTGCAAATTCAGTTGGCTCACCTTTAAATGCAAACTGAATAGGATTTTCCCTCCACCCCTATTCCCAGCTCACCCCAGACTGCTGCCCACAGCCCAACCGTGACACTGTGAAAGAAGTGGCTTTTCTGGAAGCTGCCAGATTTAACGTCTCCCGCCTCCAGCCTCCCCACCCGCCTCCCTTTGAGGGTAGGCAGGAACAGAAAGGACAAACCAACCTCCTTGATTCCGACCTTAGGGCACCTCTGGGTACAGTTTAAAAACAAACAAGAAGAACATTCCTTCTTACCGGGAAATTCACTACCCAGAACAGAGAGAAGCCTGTACTCTGGATAAGAGCTAAGAAGCAAATGCATCTTATGACAGCACAAAACAACTCCCCTGACTTGCATATTATTTGGTTTGACCTTTCCTTAAAGACCAGCCATCAGCTCGTTTGCAGTTAAAGAGTCTATCAAGCCCATCTGGAGTACATAAATGGGTTTTCTAAACAACCTCACCTAGCATTCTATTATTATTATTATTATTATTATTATTATTATTATTATTATTATTATTATTAAGGATCTGCAATGCAGGGAGTTTGCAATTACAGCACCCCGTCAGTGTCTGTTTAAATATCTTCATCAAAGAAGAGCACCCAACCTGCCAAGGCGGAATTGTTCCACTTTTGATTAGCTCTTATTTTTAGGAACATAAGACCAATGCTCCATAAAGCTAGGTATTTTCTGCACTGACTGGTAAGGGCTCTCCAGAGTATCAGAGAGGGAGTCTCTCCTAGCCCTACTGGAGTTACCACGGTTTGAATCTGGGGTCCTCTGCATGCAAAACAGATGCAAAGCTATGGGTCTCTTATAGGACATTTTGGCTTTGTCCCAGACGGTGACCTCAACTGCAGGACAGAATTCTAGCTCAAGTGGGAACTTGCACTAGGCGGAGAGTCAGGGGACACCCGGCCACATACTGCCAGCCCTGTTCCAGAACCAGGTCAAGGAAAGTTTGGTCAAAGAAAGGTCAAATCCTAGCAAGGTAATGTCCCACAAAGCAGAGGGTAAAGGCAAGGTCAGGCAAAGTGGAGGTCAAACTCCAACCTTCCCCCACTAAACACACCCAGAGTGGTTCAATAGTTAATCCTTCTTCCCAGGGAGTTCTAGGAAAGGTAGCTCAGTGAAGGGGAAACAGGGGGTCTTCAAACAACTCTCACCACCCTTAATGAACTATGGCTCCAAGAATTCTCTGGGGGAAGCCGTAATAGTTTAAAGTGGTATCACACTGCTTTAAATTTATAGTGCATATTTGGCCTTAGTGAGTGGAACATTGAGAGATCATCTGCTGCAGGCTCTGAGGAAGGGGCTGGCAATCTTTTTGGGCACCAGGGAAGGCCTCTGGAAGCTTCTCTGTGCCCACGGGTGCCAGGTTGGCAGCCCTTGCATAAGCAATCTGGATGCCATTTCATGCACTCGGTGCTATTGATGAATTGGCTCCTGGTTATCCCATTTATTAATACCTGTCTGCACTGAAAAGTTACATCTTTTCTTATTCTAGTTTCCTATATTTCAGCACAGAATCATACAAATTCATTTTCATTTTAATGATCATTGCCCGTTCTATAATGAATTTTAAATGTTACAATGTTGTTATTATCCAAATGATTTTAAAAGAAAATTGGATTGTCAAGTTATGTTTTGAAATGAGTTGCTATTAGACTGCTTATTACTGTAATGACGCATTGAGATGTATTTTTTTTTGCTATTGTGTTGTAAGCCACTTTGGGCATACCTGGGTAGAAAAGCATCATACATATTGAAATAACAATGCTGATACTTTAAGCTTGCCATGCCTGAACTACTGCCTTGCTTCTTGGAAGGCTGTTGAAACTATTTGGCTGTCCACCGCTGGAAACACATCACTGGGTTAGAAGAACCCTAAGTCAGATCCAGCCAAGGCAATTCTTATAACAAGGAAACCATAACTAGTTCCAAAAGGAGTGAATCACTGTACCTGATTGGGTAGTCCGCAGCACTTAGGTTAATGAAGAAATCCCACTGCCAGTCCTTCATTTCCATTAAATCCTGCATACTCTGCAAGTAGGTCGACAAAAGGCTCGCTCCTCCCCAGATCGTTGCCATGCGCCAAGAAGTAACTTTCACATTTGGATACTGGTTCGCAAACTGGAGCACTTGCCGGTACAGGTAATTGGAGCGCTTTATGGTGACAGGGTGGGGTGGGGGAGCAAGAAGGAGGAGAAAATTTAATGAAAAGGCTTCTGACACATTTGAGCATGCATAAACCATACAGCCATGTTCCCCATCATTATTTTCCTCCAATGTTCCTTAAATGCAGACGGAACTGGAAGAGGTAGAGAGAGAGAGGCTCGGTGGAAATATTCTCCATTTCGTGTGGCAAAGCATTTACTGACTCATTGCAAAGAAAAAAACCTATAGAATGCCAGACATGCTTGCTTACAAGTTAAGTCCTCTTCCAAGGCAAGTGTGTATAGGGTTGTAACCTGAGGCAGACTCCATCTATTTACAGTATTCAGTTTTGCTTTTGTGAATGACGGGCGTCCAAGGCAATCGTCAATTCATCCTAGAATGGGCACAGGGAATCCAGGGCCTTCCACATATTTTGGGGCATCCAGCTCTCCATCACCCCTGACCAATGGTCCCCATTTGTATCTGGACGTTATAAATATTGCTTCAGAACATGAGGAGAAATAGGAGAATTAAAGGTATTGAAGTGGGATGTAGGGCATTTGCTGATGATGTGGTGTCAACATTGGAACAACCATTAGAGAGCGTCCCCAAAGTGCTAAAAGAAATTAAAAGGTTTAGAGAGGTAACAGGTTTTAAAATAAATTCAGACACAACCAAAATGTTGGTTAAAAACATGGATGAGCAGTCGAAAAAACGTTTTAGAAAGGTCTGGTTTAAAAATAGGTAAAAAAGTCAAATATTTGGGAATTCAGCTGACAGCAAGGAACCTCAACTTATCTGTAAACAATTATATTAAATTGGGTAAAGAGGTTAAGAAAGACTTGGAGACCTGGGGGAGGATGAAACTTCCCCTGCTAGGTAGAATTTCAGTCGTTAAAATGAATGTACTTCTTAGGATGCTGATTTTATTCCAATCAGTTCTGATGGTAAATAATGCAAGCTGCTTCAAAGAATTTCCCCTCCTAAATTTATCTGGCAGGGGGGAAAGCCAAGAATTAAATATAAAATTTTGATAGATACAAAAAGAAGAGGAGGCTTTGCTCTGCCAGGCTTGCAATTGTAATATGAGGCAGCTTGTTTGTGTTGCTTAAAGGAATGGATTGTATTGGATAATGCAAACATTTTAGATGTGGAAGGCCATGACTTAAAATTCAGCTGGCATGCATGTCTTTGGTATGGGAAAGCAAAAATTTATAAGAGTTTTATGAACCACATTCTCAGGAAGAATTTGTATAGAGTCTGGGAAAAATATAAAATCTGCTAGAAAGAAAAAGAATTTGTATAGAGTCTGGGAAAAATATAAAATCTGCTAGAAAGAAAAACACCTTTATGATTATTCCCCCATTGAAGCAATTGCAGTTAAGAGATTTTATATGGATAGACAATGGGCGACTTACAGAGAATTGCTGGACTTTGCAGGTGGTGAACACAGACCTGCAGGTGGTGAACACAGATGGTATTTAACTCTGAGTAGATTGACTAAGATGTATAAAGCAGAATCAGATAAGTGTTGGAAATGTAAAGAAATGGAAGGTACTTTTTTCATATGTGGTGAACATGTAGAAAGGTTAAAAAAACACGGGGAATTATTTATAATAAGTTGGGGGGAAAAGTTTTTATTTAACTTTCCCAAAAAAACAGAGTCCTTTTTGTTGGGAATAACCAGACAGAAATCCCCAGGTGCCAGAAAAGTTTGTTTATGTATGCAACAACAGCGGCCCGTGTTCTGTTAGCCCAAAAATGGAAAGTGAGTGAGGTCCCATGTAAAGAGGACTGGCAATTTAAGATGCTGGAATATACAGAACTTGCAGGTTTAACCCACAGAATAGGAGAGCAAGAAGAACATATACTTAAAGAAGAGTGGAAAATATTTATTGAATACTGTATATGGAAAATAACTGTACACAGCTGAAAACGCTGGCAGTATTAAGATAAATTCAACAGAGTAAACCATATTTGATTGATGTAAAAGTGGAAAATTGATTTGAAAGGTTATAGGAAAAGATGCAGGAACGTATGACCATGGAAGGAGAAAGAAGGGAAGTCATTGGATATTTTAAAGTTTGTAAAATGTTTATGAAAAAAATTGAAAACTCTTAAAAACAAACAAAACCCAAGTTCCCTATCCGTGTCCTAGTATAATCTTTCCCATCCTTGGGTCCTTGGACTCCAACTCGCCAGCATAGCCTGTGCTCAGGGATGATGGGAGCTGTTATCAGTTTATTATTTATTAAATTTCTATGCTACCCTTCATCTGAGGATCACAGGGCAGTTTACAATATAAAAACACAAAAATACGTACCGTAGTAACAAACAAAAACAGTACCTCCCTCACACAGTTTCAAATGCCATAGATTGTTGAATTAGCCAAAGCCCTGGGAAAAGAGAAATATTTTTGCCTGGCACCTAAAGATGTAAGGTGTCTATGACAAAAATGTCTCTCAGCAAACGAACCGTGGAGAGAACTGAAAGTGGAGACAACAGATGCAGCATTCCCTGTTTATCTGTTTGCTTTGTAACACAAAAAAACCCCAATAAAAACTATTTTTTAAAATAAAAATAAAGGCACCAGGTGAGGCTCCCTGAGGAGAGCATTCCAAAGGTGGGGAGCCACCACAGAAGAGGCCTGTTCTTGTGTGGTCACCCTCCAGACCTCTCGGGGAGGAGGCACACAAGGAAGCATCATAACTCAGTGGTAGAGCACCTGCTTTACACAAAGATGGTCCCAGGTTCAATCCTCAGTATCTCCCAAGAGTACCCTGCCTGAAATTCTGAAGAGCCACTGCCAATCAGTGCAGACAATATAGAGCTGGATGGACCCCTGGTCTGAGTATAAGGCAGCTTCTTATGTTTTTTGTAAACCATGGTTTGCTTCTCCTTGTGGCTCACTGTTATGTGAAAATGGGGACCCTGAATGTTACCTACAGGAGTTTGCTGAAAGGCAACTAATTAGTAATAGTAGGAATAATAATAATAATAATAGTAATAATAATAATTTGAAGTTTTCTCGGAACAGTTTCAATTAAACTGTTTTACAGAGAGAATTGTGAGTGGGGGTTTGTACAGAAAATAGTATTCTAATGAAAGCGACAATTGCTGTGCAATTCCAGGCACGTCACCTCAGTCAGAAGTAAGCCCCACTCAACCAGACTCACTCTCAGGTAAACAGGTGTTACTCCCTCTCATTTAACTGGGAGCAAGCCCCAATGAACTCAACTTACTTCTGAGTAGACGTGCAAAGGATGCACCATTAATATTTATTTCACCTTCTTCTCCAAGTCTTATCACAGACCAAATCCATTTTTCATTGTAAACTAATGTGGAAGCATCAAGAAGAACACTCCCCCTCTTAATTCTCTTCCATCTGGTCTGGGGAGAACTGAAGCTCTTTTCAATTAGTATCTGAGCCTTTAATGGCAGGGGTGGTGGTGAACCCATGACCATCCAGATGTTCCTGGACCCCAACTCCCATCTACCCCATCCAGCATGGTTGATGGTGAGGGCTGATGGGAGTTGTAGTCCAAGATGTGTAGGGCCTCAAGTTCCCCATGCCTGCTGGAACGGCTCATCAGTTAGCATTGTACACACACTATAGGTAGAAATGGACCTGGGATACATAAAAAGGGATGGATGGACACAGTGAAGAGGAAAGGCTGGAGATACACATACATAAACCATGATGTATGGGGGAAACACACACAATAAGTGACATTAAAAATGGAGATTAAAGATGACGAAGGAAAAGGAGGGAGATGGGCAAAAGCAATGGAGAGGGGCAGATTGACAGGTGGCGAGACAGGCAATTTATAACCAGTGATATATTACCTTGTCAACATGAATGTAATAAAAATGGTCTTTATGGTAAATAGCCTTGAACATGCGCGTCAGCTGCCGGGAAGCTCTGCCATGAACAACCAAGACAAATGCGATCCTGACTGGGTTTGCTGGCATGTATTCTACGGAGTCCTCATCCCACTGTACATTGTGGTTGGCTTTGCCTGTTTGGAAACAAAACAGAGTCAGGGCATCTGCAGAGTGCTGTACCAGGGCGGGTGGGCTGAGGGGACAAGTTCGGGTCACATTTCAGCAGGCGGAGCTCCCCCCTCCCTTCCGCCTAAGCAATCATCAATGAGAGACATGGCCTTGGGAGGGAAGGTGCTGGTCTCACTTTCCCCAGGGTAGCAGCACTGACTATTGGCTATGTTGGGAGGAGGGCTGGTTGCAAAGGGCCTTGTCATTGAATGCAGCTTGGGTCCAGGATACGTTGAGGACCATTTGATGCCTTCTATCCCTGCCTGAGGTCTTTGGGTGTCATTGTTTGTGGGACCCATGCTTTGGCCTTTATCCACTAGGAGTCACACACTTATCATTGCAGGGTGTGTGGCATTCCCTCAAGGCGGAGATCAGAAACTCCCTCCCTGCTGAACTTCCCCATGCTTTGAACTTATTTCGGCAGGCGTTTAAAGTAAGTTTTCCCCAGTCATTGCTACTGCTTTTGTGCTGTGGTGTCCCTCCTGCATCCTCTGTTGTGTTTGGCTTAGAAACTGTGGCATTCAGCATTACAGGCATACCTCAGGTTGAATGTGCTTCAGGTTGAGCACTTTCGGGTTGCGATCTGCGGCAACCCGGAAGTAACGGAGTGCGTTACGTCTGGGTTTCGCCGCTCACGCATGCGCAGACGCTCAAAATGCCATCACGCGCATGCGCGGAAGCGGCAAAACGCGATCTGCAGACAGGCCGTCGCATCTTACGTTCCATTCAGGATGCGAATGGGGCTCCAGAACGGATCCCATTCGCATCCCGAGGTACCACTGTATATACATTTATTAAAATAAAGAAAAACAGGAGCTGGAATCCAACAGCAGAGGCATCTGGCTGGAATGTGTGCAGACCAAGGGTCTGGAAAACAAGCCTTATGAGGAACGGTTGAGGGAGCTGGGTATGTTCAGCCTGGATTGGAGGAGACTGTGAGGAGTCACAAGAGGCACATTGAAATATCTAAAGGTGTGTCACATGGAGGACAGAGCAAGCTTGCTTTCTTCTGATCTGGAGGGTAGGACTCGATCCGATGGATTCAAGTTACAAGAAAGGAGATTCCGATCATACATCAGGAAGAATTTTGAACACTGCTAGGAAGGTTCTTTGCTCCCCTGCTACTCCCTCTCATGCTGCCTTTAAATGGGAAGTAAGAAAATGGGGTGGGGGGAGGACTCCCATGAAGACCTCAGCTGAGGTCATGTAACAGAAATGTCACGGAATGTTCACAAGTATTCCAATTTCTGAGAGGAAACTGTCAGTTACTGAATGCTTAGCAGGGCGGCCGTTATGGGCGAGCAAGATCCATTAGGCTAGATGGCAAACTCCATGCAATACCTAACGGAATGTGAAGCTTTATGTTGCTAGCTGGCTAGGGAGCTGACGAGGTGTGCACACATGGTTGGGCGAGTCTAAAATTAGGCTTAGGAAAGCAAAGATATCACTACTTCTCTCACACAAATTCGCCACTCTCTCAGCTGTTGCAAACGGTTGCCGCTTTTGCACCAAAATCCCAGAGCTTTCATGATATGCACAGAATAAGGATTTGGGTCAATTTTTCTCCTCCGCTGTCATCCATCTCAGGGGAGGAGCGATTTAAAGTGATCTGCAAAATAGTTGTGGCTCTGTATTTTTCAAGGACCTGGTGATCTTTTCAAATACATATATTCGTTTCCTTTCTCTCCCCCCCACCCCCATTTAGCCTTGAATTTTTCAGAGGTGATCCTCAAACCAAATTATTCCAGCATTAGGGCTACCAAAATTGAGAGTGGAATTTTCTATGCACAGATGAAAACAACAGCTACCCACAGCATTATAATTTTATTAGAGTGCCAGAAAAAGATGAATCAGACTTAAGCACTAGCAAACATTTTCTGAGGGCACACTGGAGAGTTTGGAAATCATTAATTGATCCCCTATTTTTTTTTTGAGGGGGGGAAATGATTCATTTTTAGAAAACAGACAAACAAGACAGGCAAGTAATAAATCTCTATTTATGGAGCCTCGATTTCTTCAATTTATCTTCCTTAGCAATCTGTTCCCAAGGGCAACACCAATAAAAACAAGAATGACAGAACTTAGTATTTCTGAATTAAGAAGGAAAAATAGTCCTACTCCACTCTGCCTTGCAAAATAACTCAGAAGGATCTCAAAAGAGAGGCGGACATTTCTTCATTTGGACTGGGTTTTGCCATGAACCTTGAGCTTTCACACAACGTAAAAGCTACTTCTGGAAATACTACGGAATGCAGTGCAAGTTTAATGCTCCATTTTCTGTGCTATTTGCAAATGAATTTTTTTTTCAGGAAACAAATAACACAGAAATTTGCAAAACTTGTGTTATATTCCGTTCTATTTATGGAAGTGGATTTTAGGTCATGGGAAAGTTCATATTGTAATAAGGGAAACATCAAGAAACGGCAATAAATTTCCATGTGAATGAAGCCTTGAACTGTATCTTTGTACAAAGTAAATGTATTAAGTAGGCACAATAAATATAAAATGTGTAAATAGATACAATATGTATGTACGTACAAACACACAGAGAGACATTATTAATGAAAAAACAAACTATAAATTCAGGTAGGTAGCCGTGTTGGTCTGACGCAGTAGAAATAAATTTAAAAAAATTAAAAAATTGTTCAGTAGCACCTTGGAGACCAACTAAGTTTGTTCTGGGTATAAGCTTTTGTGTGCATGCTAAAGTTTAGTAACTTATTATTAAACTGAAAACTATGGAGAAACCTGGTCTGAATAGAGATATTGGATTCTTGTCTCATTACATATGCTAAAGCTATTTTTGGTAATCTGCATACAATGGTACCTCAGGTTAAGTACTTAATTCATTCCGGAGGTCCGTTCTTAACCCGAAACTGTTCTTAACCTGAAGCACCACTTTAGCTAATGGGGCCTCCTGCTGCCGCCGCGCCGCCGGAGCACAATTTCTGTTCTTATCCTGAAGCAAAGTTCTTAACCTGAAGCACTATTTCTGGGTAACGGCGTCTGTAACCTGAAGCGTATGTAACCTGAAGCGTCTGTAACCCAAGGTACCACTGTACTATCCCTTGCTTTTCCCTGTAGGAATAATTATAGTCGTTAACAGTCATCAACAGGTTTACCATACCCATTGAGTCAATCACCCATTTCCTACTACCCTTCTGAGAAAAACCCCACCCCACCCTCCCACTATATATAAGGGTCTGGTGACTTCTGTTTCAGTGTATCTGCAGAAGTGTGCATGCACACGAAAGCTTATACGCGGAACAAACTTAGTTGGTCTCTAAGGTGCTACTGGTCAATTTTTAAATTTATTTTATTTATTTCTATCTACAAAATACAAAATTGTCTTGTGCTAGTAATCTGATGTAATAATTCTGTGTTTTCTGTTATAAACAGGGAAAGCAAAGTTCAGAAGATTAATTAAGCCCATAGGTGGTGCCCACTTTAAAATGGTTGAGGAGCACCATTTTGATTGGAGATATTGGTGACTGAACCTGGGCCTGTCTGCACAGAAAGTGTGTGCTCTGCCACTGAGTTATGGTTGTTCCCCTACATTAGGAAGATATAAACTTATTTCACTTTAGCATGCATGATACCAGCCTGCTCGGTTAAGAGTCACTGAACTCTAGATTCAAGTGAGATCCCACAGTGGGGCCTAATGTACAAGGGATGGAGATCCTCTGGTCCTCCAGATGTGGCTGGACTCCAACTCACATCACCCCTGCACATGCTGGCTGGGGCTGATGAAGCCCAACATCTGGAGCGCCACAGGTTTCCCATCCTTGATGGGTTGGGTGTTTGTTTTAGGGAGTAACAGTTTTTTTCAATGAGAAACCAATATCTTTTAAAGTAGGACGTCAGAGACCCCTGTAATTTCTGTTCTTTCATATGAAGCATTTTATCTTAGGAAACGTTAGAAAATATTCATTGAATGGAGGAGGATGAACCATTCTCAGAAAGATGGTTTCCGAAAAGGGGTTTTATCATGCTACTAAAATATAATATACGCCGCCCAGTGTTAAGACCTTGTCTGGATATGGTGCTAAATGATGGTTTATGAAGCTCTCTTGTTTTAACAAACCATCGTTTATTGCCCAGTCCCACTTGTTTAGTGCTAGATCTGAATGAGTCCTAAAAATGAGTGATTCCATGTGACATTGAGCATGCCATTTGGAATCATGCTAGCATTTTAAAAAAGAAGTTGGAGCCAGTGAGAACTCCCCTTTCTAATAGTAGCATGGGGCGGGGGAGAGTTCAACCTCCCCTCCCTGCGTACAATATTCCCAATGAGAATTATCCTGGATTTTGTTTGTGGGCCTGATCCTTATCTTCCCCCATTCCCTGTTGGGCAAGGCTTCCCACCTCTCCATCACCTGCTGTTTGCAATGACACCAGGTGACCCATTTGAAATCTACCTGCGTAGGCAAAGCAGCAGCGATCAGCTGAAGTCAGAGTGTGGGGGCAAGAGGGCATAGCTTGGCTGAAACAAGTAGAAAACCACCAAGCCAAACAAACCAAAAAGAAACTTGACTACATTACAAGAAGTGGCTGTTTGATCATAAACTTTCAGTGACCAAAATGCCACTGGAGTGGTCAAATCTGGCACTCAGATCCTATGATTTGGCTTCTGTGTGTTTACGGGCAACAACATCGCAACAATAACTAGGGATGGAGGAGAACATTTGTGTGTGAAAGCACATCTACAATACCAGAGTCAAAATACAGCCATCCTTCAGAAGGCACACCCACCTCTGAAGTTTGCAATGCAGTTCACCAGCCAGGAAAGGGTACAAAATGTGCTCAATAAATGCATATTTTAGTGAAAATAACACACAAAGATTTTTTAGATTAGAGGAGATTGCTTTGTACACATAAAGTCATGTGTACACCAGGAGACAGTCACACTACAAAGCTGATGAATTTTCATGAGGCTTTTTCTTCTTTTAAATCACAAACTGATGTG